AGAGCAAAACGGAGAACACCATCATGTTTGTAGGCCAAACCGTTCAGACGCTACAGACGATTTTGTGAGAAGACAATTTTCGTGATGTCTCATGGTCTGACAAACACCAGTCTAGATCTGTGACTTTTCACCGCAGATGCGGAAGTGCGACATAAGTGGATGCTGTGAATTGAGACACATTCAATGCAAAAAAACAGATATCTCCAGCTTAAACGGACAGATTTTTATTGGGATTTTTTGTATTATGCTAATTGTTTTCCGTGGGGGGCGCAGACATCAACCTTAGGGGGTTAAAGGCCTGGGAGCGAATGTGCCCTCAAACAGTCCATTTGATGGCAGGTACAGATTGGCACAGGGGTATTTGAGTGCTATTCCACAGGCCTGCCCTCTCCCCGGCTACACACGCCTCATCTGCTCACTCAATCTGTTCCCACTGTCGCTGATTCAGTCTGCTCTGGCTGAAGGTCACAATATGGCGGTGGGCTTCTGGTGGAGAGAGAGTCCGCCAAAGGCCCCAGACAGCCTAGTCTCCAGCCTGCTGCCTCCCTGTGTACACAGGAGAGGAGAGGGAGAGAGCACTGCAGAGAAACGTGCAGATATTAACATTCAAGGCCCTAGGCATAATGTACAATCAGCATTTAGTATAGGGCCTTTAAACTCAAAGACCCTTACGTCTGAGGGCTGGTCATTAGGTTTGGTCACAGCTCTCCTCATGTCCTGGTGGAGCCTGACTAGTGACCACAGGGATACCACAGCATACCTTCAGTAGAGCATACTGAAATATTAATGCTGTGTTTTGTTTTCATTTTTGCCCTACCTGAGTGGCCATCTGGGAAGCTTGGCTGTTCTCACATTAACTATTCATTCCCGTGTTGGATATGACCAGTGCTGCACAATGGGAGCTAATCGTGTTACTCTAGAGAGAAAAAGGGAGCGACAGAGAGGGACTATATATGTAGGATGAATGAAAGGGATCTTATGATAACAGAGTAGTGTATTATACAAGCAGATGGAAGGTGTGAAATACTGTAGAATGTAGAAGCTGATGATTGATGATGTGTTTGTCCCTGTGGACAAGGATAATAAAGTACAGATGATTAGTTCTATTGTTTTCACATTTGAGCACGGTCCAGAAGTGCCAGCTAATGCTCATCCCTGCCTACCTGCCTCAGTGCTCAGGTAAGACTGACTAATCAAAACCCAACACTACACCTCTAACTGACTCTGCCACTCAGGCAAAACCACAGACACCCAGGGGGGAGATGATGGGTGCCAACAGCAAAGCTCTCACTGACACCTTATTCCAGTCATCACACCTAACGGCTGAGAAGTGTTTACTTGGGGAACCACAACCACCCAGGCCTGATGATCAAGACCTGTCATGGGGGGACAGATTTGAAGAGTGCACACACACACACACAGGGGGAGAGATGATCAAGTCAATGACCCGAACACTGCTCTCAGCTCCTCTCTCCTTTCTGCTCAATCTGCTGAATGACCGGCAAGCTGTGGGCAAGATAAGCGCTTGCCCAGGCGAGCGCTCAACTCAAGTGTGAATATTAATGATGGTTTTGGCCAAGATGTGCTGATTGGAGCAAACTAACAAACTGAATGATAGTTGGGACAACAGAAAAGGAGAAGGTGGGACAATTTATCCCCCCTCTATGATTAATAATTAATGAAGTCCTATGAATTATGAACCAATCTGTAACCTAACACTAGTCAAGAGGGATGGTGGTTGCCTAGGAACATTGACAATACTACACCTACTATTGTTGCTGGTAATGAGACCCCCCCAGGATAGTGGTAACATAGTAGAAAGTAAATAAAGTGGGTTATAACAGTTGTTTTGGGTCCTGTCACAAAGGGGATACAAGCCCCGGCAATTAATAATGCAGTTGTGTATGTTGTGTCACGATGCCTCTGTGAGCAAAGGCATTCCTCCAATGAACCTGCCTGAGCACAAATAGTGAATGTGTGTAGTGGATGTGTCCTTTATACCAATAATATTCCCACAACAAGTAGAGATAGAATGGTCAGATGGTGGAGCATGTAATCAATTCACATGTAATTAAGATGAGCTGTTTTGAAGGTTGTGTATTGAGTTTATAGTATGGATACGGCATACAGTAACTGAATGGAGTTTATATTAATTGTATTGTTGTTTATTTAACTGTGGAAGGAATTGTTTGTTTCTGACCCACATGTAGACACCATGAGCAAACAGTAGACCTCCACGTTCCTCCGGAGAAGAGCCACAACATGGAAACAACAGTTTCTAGTAACCAATGAACACAGCTGGTGTTTCTAAAGTTTGTGTTTGTCTATGTCCTACCTTTCCGACCTGACACTAAAAATAACCATACACATCCTGCTGCGATGTTCAAGGTGTAGTCATCTCCCCTCAGAAGGACAGAGACTGTCCTTCTAGTAGGAAGCCATGACTACCGTGTGACTAGTGCTCTGTTCCTTCCTCTTAGGCCTGAGAAACAGGAAGTGGAGCTCATAATGCATTATTGTGACGGACAGGAAATGCAGTGTCCTCTAAAATAAGGGTCCCTCTCTACCCGTCAATGACCGGTCCCTGCTGTCTACAGCCCTGTGGTAGACCTCTCTCCTCCTGCACCCCTTTCTGTTTTCACATCAGCAAAACACAAAGACTGGGGAGAGCATGACCTTTACTGTAACACTATAGCCTACAGAACAACTAGAACCAGTGTTTAGCCAGACCCTGCAAATCTACATCCCCATCATCATGTATTATAGAAAATGATGGATAAACAATGGGAATGTTGAGTGTTTTATGACCAAAGGCAATGACAGACTGGTCCTGTGCAGTTTCAGGAACCGGAAAAGTATGGCACACAATGGACTGGGCCATGTGATTTCTGCCAACCATATATGGTACACTTCATATGTACTGACTGACACAGCCCAACCGTAAAGAGAGCCTTGTGAAACCCTTAGAGCACCCTGCTGCATTTACAGCCACTGGTCAGTGTTTCAATACTAAATTGATTGGAATTCTATTTTCAGTCTCATTACTGGAAACAAGATAAATGTTTCATGTTGAAATCTAAAAGAAGATCTAAAGGCCTAGGAGGCTAGGAGGTGAAGCATAGAAGAATCCAGGATCTCACCATATGTCTGCTGCAGAGGGACAAGAGAGAGCCATGAAAAAACTAGTTTTGATCAGTCATGGAATTTGCTAAAAAAAACTAATTGGCTCCCTATTTAAAAAGAAAATGGAGAACAAGGCATGAAGGACAAATACTGGTGTTTTGGTGCAGGGACAGCCAAGTAGCGCAAATATATTGCGATATTGTCAAAACTATACGATATATCGTCAAAAATAATATCCTGATATGTAACTGTATCAATGGCATATAGAAGCAAACCGGATGGACATCATGAAAATGATCGGAGAGGTTGAGAGTAGAAGAAGTTCAGGAGCAAAAAAATAAAATTAAAAAAATAATATATATATATATATAATAGAATTATTGTAAAATTAACTCTGTCCATAAGGTGTAGATAGTAAGTATAGACCGGAAGTAGAGGCCTGGGCATTGTTGTTCACTAATTTACTCCAAGTAGGGAAAGGATGGTGGGGTTGAAAAGTAATAAAGGGGAGTATATATATATAAAAAAAATATATATATATAAAAAATTAAATAATAAATAATCCCCCCCCCCCATGACTACTATCCATCCAGTCCCTAGCAGAAGCTGAGGAGGAGCCAGTTGCTAAGAGAGATGGGTCTTTGTGCTCGGCTCCCTCCTAGTTAATTAAAAGACTACTTTATCTGTTTCATGCTTTCAATGAGGGTCCCTGGCATGAGCCCAAGCTGCTATATGTAGATAACCATGGCAATAAGATGTGATTAATGTGGGCCCCATTTGTGCCGCGTGCCCTCCTGTGGTTTGAACGCATTGTTTTTCTCTTAATATCCTGTTTTGATCCCAAACTGCACCTCTGAAAATTAATTCAAAGTGTCTCTTTGTGGAACACGTGTGTAATATCCGCATTGCAGGATCCTAATTCAGGAAGCCGATAGATTGATTAGACAAGGCTTTGTTTTCCCGTGTAAAACATGGCAGGTGTTGGGTACTTATGATCGTCAGCGTCTGAACTTCTTGAGTGATTAGTGCTGCAGACAGGCAATATCAATTTAATAATGTCAACATCCTGCATTCATTCTGTGCCAGCTCTAATGCTTTTCCAGTCATCTGTAATCAAAGGAACCTTCCAGAAACAATGTTTTTCTTTCATTAACAGCATATCCATCAATTAACAGCAACCAAGAAGCCAAGTTTAGTAAATTAATCATCCTAAGCTAAACGCATTTAGCTATATTGGGTACTTTATTCTGTAGTAGCGTATGTTCTACACAACTGCCTATTGGACTTTGAGAAGAAAAAAATTTGAAATTAATTAATCATAAAATGTTTTTCATGTCCAGAATATTTGGACTTCATGTGCTTCATTTGGCTGAATTATAATTCTGCTGGTGCTGCATAGATCATCGTCCAGGTGTGGGCTGGTATGGATTCATACACTATGTTCTGTATTGTTATCAAAGGAATGAGTTGGACAATATCAGGCTGTAGCCTGGCAGAATATTCCCTGTTTGCCGAGGACCTCATTACCAAGTGAAATGACTGCACTTAACACAGATTCAGAATGTACCATTACTCACGCAAATCAGGCCAGAAAGAGAAAAAGACAGAATCACAATAAGCAGAGTATTGAACTGGTGTTAATTTAACTTTGTAAAGGAACAAGTGCTGAACAGCAATTTAAGTAAACTTAAAAATAGAAGCTTAAATTAACAAATGTACAACAGGTTAACCAGATACCATGACACACAATTTTCGAAATATCTCTCATCCAATTATAATTTGATACTGTACTATTTTAATTTGAAATAGAAAAGCATTTAACGAAAAAGACCCCCCCCCAAACATTGGTGCAATTTATATTGCAAACAAAATTGACAATTTACCGCCATCTAGTGGTCTTTGTAGAATAAAAATGTACAAAAGTAATTTTGAACCAACCCTTCACAATCACAAGTGGCTCTTTCTAAATGAACTGAATGAGAGACTGAGAGGAGAGGTGAGACCTTGGGGTTTCTGGATGAAGAGGCCTCTCCCTGCACCAGGGATGTTTTCAAATGGCTGTACTGGGCTGGGTCTTGGGCCTGGGGGGACAGGCACCTCTACCCTCCCCACTGGGGCCTGGGTCTTCAGGGCTCCGGGGCTCTCCTTGGGGACCTGGGCTGCTGGTATCGGGAGAGCCAGGCCTCTTCCCAGGGAGGGGAACACAGGGAGGGCGGGTGGCGTTGGGTCTTTCAACAGGGACCTCCCTCTGCCTGCCATTGTGTCCATCACTATCTCCAAGAGTCCTGGTGCTCCTGATGGAGCCACTGGCCTGAGGACTCCAGCCTCTTGGGTCAGGGCACTGGTCATAGCATGGAGGTCAGAGGCCCACAGGGTATTGCTGGTACGGGGTGTCTCTGCTGGGCCCTGCCCTGGTACTGGTGCTAGGACTACAGGCTCCACTGCTGTGGGGACAGGGGGGTCTGGTTGTCTTTGGGTGGCTGTGTTCTGGCCATTCTGTGAAGGGGGAAGGGGTCTGGGGTTGGAGCGCTCCAGCAGGCCCTGCTCAGTGATAGGGTAACGGTCGATGGCCCACTTCTGGCGCACCTGACGCATGTGCTCCAACGCCCGCAGCTCCCTGGGCAGCTCCAGAACACTGCTCTGTAGACAGACACACACACAGCTGCCCATGAGCTTCTATATCATCTCAACACAACACACTGGGACATTTATATCTCAGATAATTACTGCCATGGAGATCTATTCAGTTTTATGTCACTAAATATTCTCTCAACATTGCCATTTGTCAAATGTACAGTAATGAGTAAGTGACTCTGGACATTTGAGGATGTAAGTACTTTGTTTATCTGGGTGGTTGTGTGTTGGGTCATGTTTGTGAAGCTCAGTGGCTCACCGAGCCGACGTTCTGCATGTGGACAGGTTCCTCCCGGCTACCGCTGAGGTAGGAGTCCACCAGGCCTGTGTAGTCAGCCATGAGGGCATCCAGCAGCACCAGTCTCAGAGGCTGCAGGTGGATCACCGACAGGGCCATGACCTTCAGCAGGGACAAAGGGCAGGGACGCACGTACCACACCGCTTTGTCCTCCTACAGGTATAGTAAAGATACACAGATACAGGTTTAGTACAGACAGTACTAGTCTTCCAACAGCGCTCTGTCCCACTGAGACACAGACACACACAAACATCACATTCATACTGTTGTGCTATGTTCCCTCCTTTAGGGTTCTGTACCTTGGTGAGCAGAGACTTGATGTTGAGAGAGGAGAGTTGTGACGAGGACATCTTCAGATGTAGGCTCACCACCTCCTGTAGGGTACTGACCCTGTCTGGCAGGAAGCCACCGGTCTCTGTGTAGAAGCACAGGATATCTGCCACCTATGGAGAAATAACATGAATACGTTGCAGTGATAAGGCAGGCAGGACAACACTTGGTATGAAGCCTACAGGTCAGTAAGAATTCATTCATAGAACGACAACAAAGTTTAGTCTGCACACTCTACAGTACGGAACCTGTGTGTCAAAGATGTTGGTGAGATTTACTCCAAACTGAGCCATCAGAGATCCAGCGAGGCTCCGGCAGTCATGAGTGACCTGAACAACATACATATACAGACAGAGGTGAAATTGCATGAGGTAGAAGTGAAATGGGATAATATGTCAAACTCTCCTGTCTAAATTACTCACCTTTAATATGTGGCTATTTTCCAGGATCATGGACAGGCCGTTCTTGAAGGCCCGGGCTCCAAGCAACAGGATGTCAAAGAGGTACACCGTGTTCTTAGTGGCAATCTACAAAGAAGATTGGACATAGTTCAGTAGTTCAAATTTCCAATGATGAAAAGTAATAGATTATGTTAAATAGAAAATGCATATCTAAAAGCCTAGGTAGGATCTGTCTCTTTTCTCACCTGTAGCCAACAGAGTCTCTCGTGCTGAAACGTCCCGACCCCGTCAGCTCCTATCCCAATCACCTGCTGCTTCCGGATGAGCATCACCTATTGTGGAGAGGTCATGACCAAGCAAGGTACTAGAGTTCATTCCATACGCCCACAGGACACAACACAGGGCACACACCTCCTTAGGCTCACACTACAGATTCATTTTCCTCAGAAATGTTATCCACATCTGTATGCCAATAGGCTATGTAATGTGAAGCTTACACACAGGGGCAAAGTGATATGAAACAGTGATTGTGAGGGTTAGGTACTTACAGCAGGACCAAACTTCTCATGGAACTCATCAATGACCACAAAGTTGACATGGCTCTCATCATCTTCATCTGAGGTTGGGAGACATCTATTTGTAGAGCTACATAGATCATTTAAGCTACCTAATGAAAAGCTAATGATGCAAATCTATGGCTTCTATTAACTAAAATTGTACAATATAGTATTTAAACTGAGGTCAACTCACTCAGTATGAGACTCTTCCTGTAAGGCTGGAACTCTGCCACAGTCAGGTGACCTTCAGGTCTGTGGTCACTGGAGTTCTCTCTGAGCCAAAGAGCAGTGTGTCAGTTTTTTTGTATTATTGCATGCAATACTAATGAGACATTAATTCATCCGTGAGCAAAGTCAACTATTGCAAAATATGATGGATGCATACAAAGAATGATTCCATGGTTAGATGATCTTTCACCCATTCACTAATTGTAATTATGTCAATATCGGACATACCGGTCAGTCTTTGTTACATTTGGAAATTCCACTGAAAGATAGAAGGGTAGCTAATAGTTATACATAGCAGATGACCAGATATTATTATATTCAACTTGTAAAGCTAGCTAGTGATAATGACAGAAATAAAGTGCATGTTTCCATGATTCAGGCCGCCTACCATTCAGAATTTCATGTCCAAAGAATAGTTTCACTCCAGGGAATTTCCTTCCATTCTTGACATCCACAACTGAAAAAGATTAAACTCATACATTGCAGATTACTAACTTTAATGCAACAGTCAAATACTAGCTAGCTATATGGAATAAATACACACTGGCAGCACAGGGACGGTTTCCCGATAGCGATGGAATTTAGGATTACGAGGGTTTACAATGCATCATTCCTACAACGGCCAAAGATGTAACATGCGTTTCCCAAAACACCACAGAGAGAATGGTCACTAAGTGCATTGTTGGAGCATGAGTCGATACTGAGAGGATCAAAAGAAAGGGATTGCTGCTCTCGGATCAGCTTTCTCCATTCAAATCTTTCCTTAAAATTACAATTATTTCACAATACTGATGATGGATCAGCTCCTATAGAGATTTGACCACCTATGGCTGCAAATATTGCAGCACCTTATGCTAATGCAATAAAAATGCTCTAAATCACTGATTTGGCACATCATTGCACACATATCAGGCTACACATCATTAACTATATTGAGACAAATTACAGACAAGTAGCAAAATAAAACTTGATTGAAAATTAGCTTGATTGAAATAAGCCTATAGCCTACTGTTTATATTTGAATACAGTCATCTCGGTTTTCATTTGAATAATATTTTTTTATACGTCTCTTGTTTGTGTCAATTGCAAAGACATTAGAAACTTTGTAGTAAACTTTGTTCTGAAGTTATTGGCAGTCACAGAGAGACGGCTAACCAATGTGATTCTATGTTTAGCGGAGATGTGTATAAAGCATCTGACAACTCTCTTAGCTGTTCTACAAGTGGTCTGAGGCAGGCATTAGATTACGAGCGTTTTCAAGTGCAACATTAACAACAATGGTTTTGGGAAACAACTCAGAGATTTAATGATGCTATGAAGGTTCTAACAATTCATTTAGCCTTGGTGTTCTGTGTGATCTTAAGTATGCTCCCTCTAATTTTCCATCCCTCTCTCCCGGAGAATCTGAGCCCTAGGACCATGCCTCAGGACTACCTGGCCTGATAACTCCTGGCTGTCCCCGTTCCACCTGATCGTGCTGCTGATCCAGTTTCTGCTGTTCTGCCTGCGGCTATGGAACCCTGACCTGTTCACCAGACGTGCTACCTTGTCCCGGACCTAATGTTTCGACCCTCTCTCTTCCTCTACCGCACCTGCTGTCTCGACCTCTGAATGCTCGGCTATGAAAAGCCCACTGACATTTACTCCTGAGGTGCTGACCTGGTGCATTCTCTATAACAGCGGTCACCAACTGGTCTCCAAGACATTCCTAGTCGATCACCAAACGTTTACGCGCTGTTGGTGGTAGGTGCACTTGATTCAGCAGCCCTAGCGCCGGGTAGGCAAAGTGTTCCCATTTTATTACATTTAAGTCATTTAGCAGACGCTCTTATCCAGAGCGACTTACAGTTAGTGAGTGCATAATTTTTTTTTTCTCATACTGGCCCCCCCGTGGGAAACGAACCCACAACCCTGGCGTTGCAAGTGCCATGCTATACCAATTGAGCTACACGGGACCTATGTATCTGAAGGTAAAACTCTGCCTACCAGGCAGGCCCAGAGAGCAAATCAAGTGCACATATAGGCCTACCGCTGGCCAATCAGATAGCTCAGATCACCGTGTCTGCACACCTTCCTCGAGCAATAGACTGTAAAAAGAATCCTTGAACGCACAGCAAAGTTGATCATGTGAGATTTCAACACTTTTAAAACCATGACTAGAGAGAGACTCAACAAATACAGCAAAGAGCTGCTGTTTTAATAAGTTCATGTTGTTATTCAACACTGTCAACACTTTGTTAAACAGTTTTATAAGCCATAAAATGCACATTCTCCCTACTTCCACTCATGCTATAACCAGCACTGCAGTTGCAATGAATAAGTATAGCAAAGTGTTTCGATAAGCTTGCATTGTTATTAGTTGTGGCTTGTGTATTTTACATCAAGGAATATTTCACTTTTTCTGGTCATAGGAGTAACATGAATTGGTGTATGAGGCAGAAATAATGCAGTGCGACTTAAGTTTCGCCATCAGCTGGAAGACTGTCCCCTTTTCTCAGCGGAGGGAGAGAGAGAGGAGGGACTATGAGTCAGGTGAGAGGCAGCCTCACCGCTGCTCCATCCCTCCCCTCAGACTGGCCATCAGATACAGGCAGTCAGTCCAGTAAAAAAATAATATTATGCTCACTCAGCCATGCCTCACAAGTAATACAACAAATTATATATTACCAGTGTGATCATATACCTAACATTTTGAAATATAATTTAAAAATGGTCTGAAAAGAATTCAGGCATAGCCAATATGCAGTGATAATGTGTTGGACCTATAGCCTACTGCACAAACCTAATTTCTACAGAACTGTTTTTAATTGCTTAATGTTGCATAGGCTTAAGTTTTTTAAGTCATGTAAAAAAAAAAAAATCTTAGCAGTGGATCTGTCTTGCATTTTGACTCAGAAAGGCCACCCTTTAGAGCCTGGTTCCTCTAGGTTTCTTCCTAGGTTCATGCCTTTTTAGGGAGTTTTTCCTAGTCACCGTGCTTCTAAATCTTTGTGATTTTAGGCTGGGTTCTGTATAAGCACTTTGTGACATCTGCTGTTGTAAAAATGGCTTTATAAATACATTTGATTGATTGAAGATGCTTTTGGGAAACCGGGTCCAGGTCAGTAACTGGCACATGCGCACAGCTTTCCTGAAAACCTGCCTCTGCTGGCTAACTAACGTTAGCTACCATAGCAAACTAGCTGAGCTGATTGTGATCAGATACCGTGCAGATTTTGAGCAAAAATATGAGCATGTGAAACTGAACAATAGTTCAATCAAGATAATGTAAGTCAGTGCATTCATTTTATCTTACCGTCCTCTAAAATCACCGTTTTGTTGGCGTTGATCCGCTGAACAATGCCAAGGAAAGTCGCAGTCTTGAGGGTCAATTTGATACGCTTTCTCTTGAAGCTATCCATGAATTGAAAGTCGTCCATTGTTATCTTGCTAAACAACACTTGCTATGCTTGTTGTTGCAATGTATCAAGCAAAGTTAAAGCTAATGACAGCGAATCAACCTCTGTTGATAAAAAAAAAACTTTTACCAACACGTGCCTTGACCAAAGCAGGTGAGAGGAATCAACTACGTGAACATGATTGATTGACCGCCAGGGGGTGGAGCGTGGGAGGTTGGAGGGGTCAGGCTATATAGTCATGTAGAGATAGTTAGCTAAAGAACGCAACTGTCCTATACGGCGTCTGCGATAGCCGTTCTAGTTACCACAGCCAGAAAGTCATAAACCCCGCCAATTTTTTACAATTTATCTTCTTAATCTGATTTTAAACCTAACCTTATGCCTAACCTTAAATTAAGAACAAAAAGCAAATGTTTGTTTACATTATATAGCCATAATATCACATTAGGATATAGCCAATTTTGACTTTGTGGCTGTGGAAAACAAGTGGAAACCGTGAACACATATGCAGCACAATCTCCATTTTGAAGTAGTCAATTGTCTTCTTCTACTACTTCTATGAGTTGGTAAACAAACTGAAAGGTTGCATACAGCCACCTATAGTGTGTTGTTTGAACAGGTATAAAGCCAAGGTTGGTGATTTACTGCCACTTACAGATATGGAATGTTTTCTCATGAATATAAATCATTGGCTGATCCCTCCTGATGACCTGGATGGAATTATGTGATCCTTCCTTAACCCATAGGAAGTCCCAGCATACTTAAAAATGGTGAAAGACCTCAATGGAGCTGCCCATGCTAAAACAGGCTTTTGGGCCCTAGAGTCCTCCCTCTATCACTGTGGTCAGGCATCATCAGCGCGACCTTCTTCTTCTTCTATGGTATAATGGCGTTCCACGAACAAACGTTTAAGGTGCATGCCACCACCTACTGTGTCAGCTCGACCTTGCATGATGCTTGAGAAAAAATACTCCCTTCAATCTTAATTGTTGTCAATAACCACGTTTCCCTCCCTGCGAGTAAAGTCATATCGTATTTTTAAAAAATCACGACTGCTGTGATGGAAACTGGAAGTTTCGGTGTAATTTTATAAATGCCGGCAGCTAATTTATTCGTTCGACATGATGGGGTCTTTGTGTAGGTAAAATTAATTATGCGGAAACGCCTTTATGCGCAAATATTGATATAATCACCATCATCTCGAAGTAAATGTGGATTCACGCGATGATATGGTACGTGGTGCTCCCACTACGCCTCAGGAAACCATTCATACAATTTATTGAATCTGTAGTCTAATAAACTGCATGGTTTCCTGAGGCGTAGTGGGAGGGCCACACACCATATCATCGCGTGACTCCAAATGTACTTCGATATGATGGTGATTATATCAATATTTGCGCATAAAGGCCTTTCCACCGACATTTCCCGCATAACTAGTTTAGTTATGATGAACTTCACAGGGTGGTGAAAATGCACGGTGATGAGCTTGATTCGCTTTCCAATAAATATCGAGGGTCTTATTCGGGTGATATGATGATTGACGCTTGACTGCCGTTTGACAAATACTAATATTCTCGCTATTATCCATAACAATCTCATCATGTAGACTAGCCAACCCAGCACAGCCAACCCGCACTGTATATGTGCAGGTGCCAAGACCAGAGTAGGGACATTTGCTATTTAATGCAACAGTTTTTGTGACAAAACTATCGGTGGAGTTGAAAATGCGATGGAAACACATTGCATTTTGGACTTTTATTCGGTACATGAAAACTTAAGCGAAAAAGTACATTTTGTGTGCACTGTCATAACACACAGATTCTTATCCGCAACAAGTTAATTTGGTGGAAACATACAACTGGTGGGAAAATACGATTTTTTATTTATTTATGCGGATTCTAGAATATTTGCATGAAAATCTGTCGCCAATGGAATGGAAACCTAGCTAGTGTCACTCAGAGCCGCCGGAAAACGTGTGGCGTTTTCACCAGTACTTTTCGAAGTACTTTTCACACCACTTTCAAAGGAGCAGCACCGACCAGGCCAGTTCCTTCTCAGCGCATCATTGAATGCCGTTGAAGACTACATCATTGAAGACTACACACAGACAAGTTGTGCTATTTGTATTTGAGCAATATGATTGGCAGTTCATTCAAGCACCCCTACACTCCTGAGAGTCCCAACATCTCCAGCACTCCAGCAGTACAGAAGTTGATACCCACTGGGTACAGACGTCAATTCAATGTCTATTAGACGTCAATTCAATGTCTATTCCATGTTGGTTCAATGTAATTTCATTGAAATGACGTGGAAACAACGTTGATTCAACCAGTTGAATTGACGTCTACATTCACACAGTACAGTCGCTACATTCACACAGTACAGTCGTGGTCAAAAGTTTTGAGAATGACACAAATACAAATTTTCACAAAGACTGCTGCCTCAGTTTTGATGATGGCAATTTGCATATACTCCAGAATGTCATGAAGAGTGATCAGATGAATTGCAATTAATTGCAAAGTCCCTCTTTGCCATGAAAATGAACTTAATCCCAATAAAACTTTTCCACTGCATTTCAGCCCTGCCACAAAAGGACCAGCTGCCATCATGTCAGTGATTCTCTCGTTAACACAGGTGAGATTGTTGACGAGGACAAGGCTGGAGATCACTCTGTCATGCTGATTGAGTTAGAATAACAGACTGGAAGCTTTAAAAGGAGGGTGGTGCTTGAAATCATTGTTCTTCCTCTGTTAACCATGGTTACCTGCAAGGAAACACGTGCTGTCATCTTTGCTTTGCACAAAAAGGGCTTCACAGGCAAGGATATTGCTGCTAGTAAGATTGCACCTAAACCAACCATTTATCGGATCATCAAGAACTTCAAGGAGAGAGGTTCAATTGTTGTGAAGAAGGCGTCAGGGCGCCCAAGAAAGTCCAGCAAGCGCCAGGACCGTCTCCTAAAGTTGATTCAGCTGCGGGATCGGTGCACCACCAGTGCAGAGCTTGCTCAGGAATGGCAGCAAGCAGGTGTGAGTGCATCTGCACGCACAGTGAGGCGAAGACTTTTGGAGGATGGCCTGGTGTCAAGAAGGGCAGCAAAGAAGCCACTTCTCTCCAGGAAAAACATCAAGGACAGACTGATATTCTGCAAAAGGTACAGGGATTGGACAGCTGAGGACTGGAGTAGTCATTTTCTCTGATGAATCCCCTTTCCGATTGTTTGGGGCATCCGGAAAACATCTTGTCCGGAGAAGACAAGGTGAGCGCTACCATCAGTCCTGTGTCATGCCAACAGTAAAGCATCCTGAGACCGTTCATGTGTGCGGTTGCTTCTCAGCCAAGGGAGTGGGCTCACTCACAATTTTGCGTAAGAACACAGCCATGAATAAAGAATGGTACCAACACATCCTCAGAGAGCAACTTCTCCCAACCATCCAATAACAGTTTGGTGATGACCAATGCCTTTTCCAGCATGATGGAGCACCTTGCCATAAGGCAAAAGTGATAACTAAGTGGCTCGGGGAACAAAACATCGACATTTTGTGTCCATGGCCAGGAAACTCCCCAGACCTTAATCCCATTGAGAACTTGTGGTTGATCCTCAAGAGGCGGTGGACAAACAAAACCCCACAAATTCGGACAAATTCCAAGCATTGATTATGCAAGAATGGACTGCCATCAGTCAGGATGTGGCCCAGAAGTTAATTGACAGCATGCCAGGGCGGATTGCAGAGGTCTTGAAAATTATATTGACTCTTTGCATAAACTTAATGTAATTGTCAATAAAAGCCTTTGACACTTATGGAATGCTTGTAATTATACTTCAGTATACCATAGTAACATCTGACAAAAATATATCATAACACTGAAGCAGCAAACTTTGTGAAGACCAATACTTGTGTCATTCTCAAAACCTTTGACCACGACTGTACACAGGAGCTGTCCTGAGCAAAAAGAAGCGCCCATCAATCTACTCGCTGAGTTTATTTATTTTAGGGAAAGTGATTTACAAAAGAAACCTTCAATAGTGAACATATTATCAATTTCTGACTACTGTTGATGGTCTGCAAAAAGAAAGATACAAAAAAATACACTTTAGCATTCGTCTTGGCTAATCTATGAGACCAGGCTGATCCACCCTGACCAACCACCCTCCTTTAGTTTTTTGCCTTAAGTAACCTTGTCTTATGTAACCGTACCAAACGTAACATATCATACTAATTTGAATGTCCCGGATTTACTTTTACTATGTTAGGTCTAGTCTATGAGACCAGGCTGTGTAGCCAAGTCAGTATCTCTTTTGGAATGCAATTGTCTTAGAGGGGCGGTGTCCTATTTTGAGATGTAAAGAAATATCTCAAAATGACATTTGAAACAGAAATGACTACAATTAATACAATGCAATTCTAAAGAATAGAGTAATGACTTGCATTGCTAAATTACATTAAACAACTTTTTAATACTTCGAGAGCTTGGGACTATAAGGAGCAATATGATTATATGCAAAAAGATAATTGGCTTTAAAGTTCTGAACCCTCATTGGTTTGAATGGTGTCAGCAATTTTATCTTGTATTCTTTTGAACTTAACAACATTAATTGGGGTATTTAGAGTACTATACACTGAGTGTACAAAACATTAGGAACACCTTCCTAATATTGAGTTGCACCCCCTTTTGCCCTCAGAATAGCCTCAATTCTACAGGGCAGCCTCAATTCTACAGGGCATGGACTCTACAAGGTGTCGAAAGCGTTCCACAGGGATGCTGGCCCATGTTGACTCCAATGCTTCCCACAGTTGTGTCAAGTTGGCTGGATGTCCTTTGGGTGGTGGATCATTCTTGATATACACGGGAAACTGTTGAGCGTGAAAAATCCAGCAGCGTTGGAGTTCTTGATACACTCAAACCGGTGCACCTGGCACCTACTACCATTCCCCGTTCAAAGGCACTTATATATTTTGTCTTGTACATTCAACCTCTGAATGGCACACATACACAACACGTCTCAATTATCTCAAGCC